GTAGTACACATTCCAAGCTTTCCAAAATGTCCAAGAACTTCTCAAACAACCTCATAACTTGAGAGAATCGAATTTCACAATTTGGCAAAAACTCACTTTTGAATTGATCATGAACATGTTTCATAACTTAAGCCATTTTCAAGTCAGCATAGTTTGTGCTAAATTACAGGTCCTAAAACCCTTTGACACTCAATAATTCAATGCAAAACCATTGTGTCAAGTTGTTATTTTAAGCATTTGGACATTACATGGAGAATTAACCCTTAACTAGAAAAAGCACTATTTCCATTTTTGAAAAGGAGAACTTTATGTCAAGTTTGCAATCCAAGTGGTACAGTCCAAATCTTCTTGGCACAAGTTTGTGAGCAAATTACACTGATTAAGGCCAATGTATGCAGTATAGTGTGAGGGCCTGTACAGGCTAGAAACATCAAGTGGCCATTGCTTGCTTAAAGTTCAAGTAAGATAGCATAACTTGTACCAACTCTCATATCAGCCTACAAACACTTGGACAATCTTATCAAACACATTCCACACATTGATCCAAAGCTGAAGCACGAGCCTTTCACCTCCAATCCCTCCCAAAACTCAGAATCACCTTGAAACTGCTCAAACAGAGCAACCTCTGCAGATTGAGTTCCAACTCTCAATCCTTTCAAGCATTCTTGCCCAAACCAGTTCATACACCTTCCCTACCATCTATGCAAGCTAACCAAAAGCAAAAACACGACCTGTAATCCCTCTAACTGGTTCCACCATTTTCACATTTCTGATTTGCAGGTGAAGTGCTCTAGCTCGATTCAAAAGCTTTCAAGGCAAAGTAAATATTGGAACAGCATCACCACACCTCAAGGAAGCTACACCAACCATTATCTTGCCCTGAAAGCTTCTCCTTTGCCAGATAGAACTTCAACTGAATAGGTAAGTTTTTGAATTCGTATCTCTCTTATTAGGCATCATTAGCTCTAAGTTTGTGAATAAACAATGTTCTACTCATGCCACTGAACATGTATATGTTTTTACTTTTCATTTCTTTTGCTTGAGCTGTGAGAATTTAAGGTTTGAAAATGGCAGAAAACTTAGGTCAGGATTTGGAATTGTTAAAATTCTCTCTCATTTCTGAGAGTTAGGATGAGTTTTTTATATATTTGGAATCGTGATTCAATGCTTGACATGTTTTGTGTTGAAAGTTTGTGCAAAAGCTCAAAGAATCAGGATATTTGAATCCCTGTTACAAGCGCACGTTTTTGGCTGGAGGTTGAAGAAGGTGTCTCATGGGCTGGGCCAGCTTTTGTTCTACTTTTCACACCATACAATTGCTTCTGCACCCCCTGAGCCCATTTGGTTTATTTTTAATGATTTCTGACTTTTTCTTTTTTTTGATTGATTCATTTATTTTTTCTCATGTTATTAAAAATATAAAAATCTTTTTTCTCACCATTTTTTAATTTATTAGGTATTTATGTGATTTTCTTTTGATTAATACACAAATAAATGAATATATACATTTCATTAAAAATATTGAGAAATATGTAAAAATACTTTTATTTTCATTTTTTATTTTATTTTACCTTCTGAAAATACTTTATATAAAAAATACTTTTTTTACAAATATTAAATATTATTATTATATATATATATATATATATATATATATATATATATATATATATAATACACATCTAAAACAATACATATATACATATATTTATTAATATATTTAGAGTAAATACAAAATATATACACTTTTGTTTTTTTGTTATTATTAATATTTAATATAAAAATACATTTTTGACAAATACCTCATTTTATTTTATTTTTGTATATATAAATAAATATTTGTACATAATAAATGAATAATGCATTTTATTTAATAGGATTAGGGTTTTACCCTAAATATGAAAATACTCCAAAAATAATACCTTTTTATTTTCTTTTTATTTTACATAAATAATACTTTTTTTTCATACATATAAAAATTCTTTTTGCATTCTTGCATATTTGTTTTTATTTTATTTAATTTATGCAAATTGATCACCTTGTAAATGATTCAATATTGATGTAATAGTTTTAGGTTTAAATTCCTTGTCAAAATCCCCATTCGAACATTTGTACCCCCCTTCCCATATATGGTTTTGTAATAGCTTAGTAAATTTATTTTCTCACTTTATTGCTTTCTAATTATACCATGTTAGAATTAGGGTTTGTATGCAAAAAACGACAAAATAATTTGACCTAATTTCAAGATAAACAAGTATGAAAATGGACAACACATCTCACACTTGCACCCCTAGGGTATTCAACTTTGTTGCCTTTAAATAATTGGGCCATGTTGCATGTTGGGTTTCTTTGGGTAAAACAAACAAATGAATGATCATAGTCCCTCAAAATGTTGCCTAAATGAATGATCAAGTCCCTTTTTAAAGAAAAATTGCCCAAAGACATTTAACACTATTGCAATTATGGTCTAAGCGATGACCCGCGCCCGTCCCTTTCGCCTCCTAAGACAAGATTGTCCACCAAATGCAATGGTGGAACAAAATTGTCAAAAGGTTTAAAACATAACAAAAATCCTTGAGAAAACTTTAGGGTAGATAACTCTTAAGTACTTGCCAATTTACAAAGAAAACACTTGCCTAATTTCAAACTACACTTCACAAACACTTTCAAAACAAACTTTCAAAAAACCTTGAAACATCTTTTCAAAAGACAAACACCTCTTGTAAAACATTCGAGTAAGGAATTGTTACAAGGGTAGCCTACACAAGGCATCTTTTCAAAACATTTTCAAAACCATACACCAAGCACCATTTTAAACAATTGAAAACCAAGGCAAGTTGATCTAAGCAAGTACCTAAGAGCCCGTGGATAACCATGGATAGAAAGGGTGCTAATACCTTCCCTTTCTATAATCTACTCCCCGAACCCAAGAAAAATCTCAAAGGTTTTTTTGCTGTGCTTTTTAAACCTTTCCTTAGGATAAAATAAAAAGTCGGTGGCGACTCTTGCTCAACCGAAACATTTGCGAAAACAAACGCAAAACCTCAAGTCAGTTCTCCCACCGTATCACAGAACTGGCGACTCTGCTGGGGAATAATTTAAAAGTGGAGTAACCTTAGGGCTTAGATCACCCTCTTGCATGACTAATTGTTTGAATTGATTGCTTTATATCTTGGCTCTATTGTTTGGGTTTGCAATCCTACACTCGGATTTTGGGAAACATTCATAGATAGCAATACATTGTGGAAACTGTGCGGGGTATACCGACACGGTCGAAGCAATAGCTATATTAGTGCGACATATTTGTGAGTACCGGTAACCCTTGAGTTCAATCAAGGAGAGTACGGGGCCGCTGAGTGATGTCACTAAGCATTAATGACCTAGAACCTTAATTGACCATCTTGGCCTTTTATTAGGGGTAGTGAGATGACCGGCTTTGGTGCAGTCCGAAGTTGGTAGATACTCGATACTACACTCATTGAGGGTTGTTTTCTTGGAATATTTTGGTCGCTAGTTAAGTGGCTAAACCAAAACCATGAACAATGA